CCCCCCCCCCCCCCAAGACACCCGGTGAAGCATCTGGCCCACAGCAAAGCCAGGTGCTTCATCGTGCTTTTAATGACCCCTCCCATTACGCCGTCAAGCCCCGGAGCCTTTCCAGTCTTGACCCTGGAACTGGCCTCCATGACCTCGCTCGGTGCCACCTCTAGGTCATCGTTCCACTCAAAGGCCATCTCCCCTCCCTGCGGGGACGGATCCACAGGGAAAAGCGTCGTCACGATCTCCTCTGCTGTCTCAGGGGGAAGCACCTCCAGAACGGACGCGTCCCCCGAGCGCAGCCTCCGAAGGACCACCCGGTATGGCGTGCCCCAGGGATCCCTTTCCAGGTCGTCGACCATCTCTTTCCAAAGCTTCGCCTTGGATCGAGAGATCGACTTCCTGAGGTCCCTCCGCCTATCCCTCAGCTCGCCCCAGAAGGTTGTCCAAACGTTCTTTTTTTTTTTTTTTTTAACGAGGGAGGAGAAAATCTTCACAAAGCCCAGTCCCAAGGGGGGACTCCCACAAGGGGGTGCACCCATCGGGCCTGGGAAGACACCCGTCGGCCCGTACCGACGGGAGTGTCGGATTCGACCTCTCCGTGATCACATGGATGCACCGGGGAGGCCGCCTACACGACTAAAAACTCCCCCCCTTTCGTACGCCCTCCAAGGCCTAAAGGGTGACACCCCGGAACTGCAGCCTAGCATAACATCAGGGTGTCACCCCTACCCACTGAGCTACTTGGCCCTCTACCGCCGATTTTCGGGTTTACTTACGCAATGAGTTGGCCGACATGCCACGCCATCTTTCGTACTACTATTTACACTATATTTACACTATATACACAGTTCTTGCGTGGTGCAGGGGTCCACATAGGCTTTTGATACACCCCCGTGAGCCCGTGCGCCACCGCGCCATCAACAGCGAGTATTACTCCTCCCTGTCCGACGTGTCCGCTTGAGGAACTAACGCGTCCACGGGTGCCCGGATAATCCCCCGTTCACGGGCGCGCTCGTCCTCCTCCTTCTTCCTCATGACCCTCTCGCAGAAGGTCATGAAGACGGCCCAGACTTTTTCAGAGAGCACGATGGCCCTCACCACCGCCCCGTAGGTCCTATCGACCCCTATTATCTCCAGAATCTCTCCTCTCTGTTCTGCCCAGGCCGGACAGAACAGGAGGGTGTGCATCGACGTGTCCGCTGCTGCGCGGCAATAATTACAAATTGGGGAGACCCGTTGTCCTATCCTGAATAGATAAGACTCGAACACCCCATGTCCGGTCAAAACCTGAGTGGTGCGGTAAGTGAGAGCCCCGTGCCCCCTGTCTACCCACCTCTCCAGGTGTTCCGCTACCGCGCCACGCACCAACGCTCCGGGACCGCTCGCAGGCAACTGCACGAGTTGCTCACGCCATCTCCATAGCGAACGCTGACGCTCAACTTTTATTATATTGTCCCTCTCGCGAGGGAGCAACACTCCATTATCCGCAATAATCTGCCGTCGCCGGAGATATGACCTTCTCAGCCTATCTGCCTCAAGGTCAAAAGGGACCATCCTGGACAGTATGGCCGCCGCGTCGTGAGATATAGTACGGTACCCTCTCACCGTTCTCAGTGCCAGCTGCCGCTGCAGGTTCCTGGTCTTGTTGAGAATCCACCGGTCCCTGGCCACGGTGCTCGCTCATATCGGCGCTCCGTACATGACAACGGCCATCGCCGCTGCCGCGTACATCCTTCTGCGCGTTTCTCCCGGTCCGCCAATGTTAGCGGTTATCCTGGCCAATGCCATCCTCCATGCCTTAGGCATGACAAGTCGGAAGTGGTCCCGAAAGGTCCACCGCGAATCCAGGGTCAAACCCAGGTATTTCACGGCGGACCCAATCGGGATCACCTCCCCCCCCATCCTCAGGGTCGCGTTTGCCGGGATCCCACCCCTAGTAAACACCGCGATCTCGGTCTTTGGTATCGAGACTCTCAGACCCAGCCTTTCTATCTCGCGGACCAGGTATGCCGTCTCCAACTCCGCTCTAATTATCGCTTCGTCGAGTGTGCCTGCCCTTACGACCAGCAGGGTATCATCCGCGTAACATATCGTCCTACATCCCACTGGGAGCCTGAGTCTCAGTATGGTCATACCCTATGTTCCACAGGATTGGTCCTAAGACCGAACCCTGTGGAACCCCGCATGTGACTGCCTTACGCTTATAGCAGTCCTTCCTATCGATGTACGACAGGTCCCTATCCGATAGATAGTCGCCAAGGATGGCCCGGAGATAACCCGGCACCTCCTTTTCCCTGAGCGCCTCCCTTATAGTCGGCCACGGGAGAGTGTTGAAGGCGTTCGCTATATCCAGCGACACCGCCATCACCACCCCCCGTCACGCAGGCCCTCGTCTACGCTCTCGCGCAACCTCCATATTGCATCGACTGTGGATCGATGTTTCCTGAATCCGAATTGGCTGTCCGCGATGTCTTCGGTCCGCTCTAGAAATATACTTAGCCTACTTACGATTATGCGTTCGAGCATTTTCCCCGCCTCACTCAATAGATATATCGGTCTATATGAGGACGGGACTAAGTCCGATTTGCCCGGCTTTTTTAAAAGTACTAACCGCGCGACTTTCCATTGCCGGGGAAAGTATCCCTCCTTAAAACATTCCGTGAAGCATTTCACCCACAGAGGGATGAGCTGCCCTATCGTGCCCTTCACGACGCATCCGGGTATGCCGTCTGGTCCAGGAGCCTTACCTACTTTCACGCCAGCACAGGCCTCCATTACCTCTTCGTGCGTCACCGCGAGTTCGTCCTGCCACTCCGTCCTCGTCTTGTTGTTTCGAGTCGCCGTTCCTTTTGGGAACAACGCAGCCACTATTTCGTCTGCGACCTCCGGTGGTAAGGTCTCGACAATAGAGGCACCACCGACCGACAGCTTCTTGGTGACCAATCTGTAGGGCATTCCCCATGGGTCCCTATCAAGGTCGTTCACCAACTCCTTCCATAATTTAGCCTTGGATGTGTTAATGGCCCTCCTAAGCTCTCGTCTGGCCTCCTTTAAGCCGTCCCACAGTGTCCTGAGATTTTCCGGACAGACGTGTCTTTTTGCTCTCGTTCTTGTCTTCTTCTCCAAGAGTTGCAGGTACGTCGAAGATCAGCGATTTCCTCATTCCACCAATATACTGATGGACGTCTAGGGGGACCCTTCCTTGCCATTGCGACGTCCGAGATATCCCGCAGGATCTCGTCGATCCTCCTGGCGCTCCGGGTACCATCCTCCTGTACTCCGTCCTACGCCGAAAACACCGCTGCTGCCTCCATCATCTCCCGGTCGATGCGCCGCGTCACCCATCTCGGGAATTTTTTCAGCGCCGTTCTACCTATCTCAGTGCCCCTCAACGAGGCTCCTAGATCCATTAGGATATATCTATGGTCCGATAGGGATTCCAGCTCGGTCGCGATACGCCAGCCAGTGATCTTCCTGGCTGCAATTGGCGTTGCCATCGTGACATCCACGACAGATGTTCCACGGGGATGCACACACGTGGGCTCGTCTCCGTTGTTAATGAGTAATCCCCTCATCCCCATCCAGCCCAGAAGGATGTCTCCCCTCCTGTTCGGCCGTCCCGAATTCCAGGCCTGCGCTCTGGCGTTAAGATCTCCAGCTACTATTGTTGGATGGCCCTTGCAGCCGGAGGGAGCCTCCGCCAGCAGCTCCGGATCAGTCCGCCGAGGAGAGCAAGCGGGGAACGGAACCGCGTTCATGTAAATACATATATAGTAATAGCTAATAAGAGAAGCTAGGTTTAAGCAGTAAAAAAGGATAAAAAACACAAAAAGAAAATAAGTTAGAAATAAGGCTTTTATGTTATTGCATTTCATTTGGGCCCAGTCAAAAGAGCCAAACATAATCACGTTTATTTTGTTAGAGGCATATAGCCCCAATAGTTTAGGAAAATCCAAAACCGAAAAATAACGGCGGGATCGAAAAACGCAACCGTTACAACCAACAAGAACGCCTTAGGAGCGGAATACTCGGAGGCGAGCGTAAACGATGTACCGGGTGTACACGAAATCTCGTTTTTACATAATTAAAGTTAACATATCGAAAAACGCAACCGTTACAACCAACGAGAACGCCTTAGGAGCGGAATACTCGGAGGCGAGCGTAAACGATATACCGGGTGTACACGAAATCTCGTTTTTACATAATTAAAGTTAACATATCGAAAAACGCAACCGTTACAACCAACGAGAACGCCTTAGGAGCGGAATACTCGGAGGCGAGCGTAAACGATATACCGGGTGTACATGAAATCTCGTTTATACATAACGAACTTTAAGATAGCGAAAATCGCAACCGACACATACGAGTAGTGCACAAAAGGAGCGGAACTACCGAATATCAACATGCGTAACATACCGGGTGTATCATAAATCCTGTTATGGCATAGTAGAATTCAAGATATCGGAGAACGCGTCCGTAACAACCAATAGGGTCAAAGAAGCGACTTGTCCGCGAAATACGAACCGGAGAATTGTACCGGGAGTAAGTTAAGTTTCGCAGCGACGTCGAAAAGACTGATTATCAATAATGTAGATAATGTATATAGAAAAGGGGGTGAAGCGGGGGAATTCCGCGAACCTGTAAATAAATGTTAAATTATATACTTACCGATGACTGTAGCGGGAGAGCTCCAGAAGCAGCATCCGTCAGAGTCGATGAGTACCTGAAAAGAAAAGAAATAATTAGAATAGAAAATGTTTAAATTGTAAAATGCAGCAACACAAGTATGTGACATGAATAAGCAACGTGAGCACTCACAGCGTGCAAAGCGAACGCGATGATGCGAGCGCGTACAGCGCCAGGTGATAACGCGCAGGCGCAAGCGCGAGAGTGGGGAGCGAGCGATAGTATAAGAGGGCGAGCGAAGAAGCGAACGAGGCCATTCTCTTCTGAATTATGGGGCAGTCTCTTCTGAATTATGAAACCATTCTGAGTAGAATTTTGTGAGACATTCTCTTTTGGGTTTCGAAGGACATTCCGATACCAATCCCTGTAAGGGAGGCGCGAAGTAGTTAACGCGCGGATATGTGGGACACGGATCGGGACGATTGTTGATTTAGTACTCGGGGATAGAATCCGCGTAAAACCGAGGCGATCAACGATATTCCGAAGGTGTTGAGCGGGACCGTTCCGTTACAAGGTTCAATTGCAGCGACCGCGAGAGCGAACGGGGGCTCAGGCCCACGTAACAAATCCGGCGTTAGACGAATAAGCGCGGACATTGTGATAATATAAATTGCCAAAGTTGGTGAATAAAATCAAAGTATGTTAGTTGCCTGCAAACAGTGAGTTGTTATTCAACAAAACCCTCTCCCTATGCGACCGAGACAACTCGGAACGAGTATACTCCGTGGTGCGAGGGACGAACGAGGCTGGGTACTTCCGAGGTCAGCCGAGCGAACCTTCTCCTTTGGAGGGTAAAAAGGAGTGGCGA